CACACACACACACACATGCACACACATGCACACATGCACACACACACACATGCACACACCTTGCGCTTTGGTCGCTTGCCAAACTGCCCTGCACCTCGTCTGCCACCTCGGTTGCCACCTTGTCCTCGTTCCCCACCACCTTGTCCTCGTCCGCTGCCAGCATCGCGATCAGCGTGCTTGCGCTTGGCGCTGCTGCTGCCGGACTTCCCGTTATCGGCCATACTTTTTGTGGTGTTTCCAGGCGAGATGCGCTGTTGGCAAAGCAAAATGGCAAAACGGCCTTTGCCACACGCCATCCTCGCCTCACCTCGACGTGCGGCTTTCCTAAACAGGAAACCTGACGAAACGAATTGAGCGCATTGGCACACGTGTGCTGTGCGCTTTGTGTCGCTGCATGCTATCCACCACGCACCACCCAATCAGTCCAACTGTGACGTGTCACGCCATGGCGAAAAAGCGGCGAGAGCGCCAAAGCAAACGCCAAACAAAAACCAAAGAAGAGCAAACGCAGCGAACTGATGTGAGACAAGGGGGCGGTGCAATGCGTCACTGAACGTGCAAAAGCCAAAAACAACCAAGAAGCAGCTGCACAACACAACAACAACAACAACAACAACAACACCTTGTTGTCGCAGCTCTACGTTTGGCATTTTCCTGTTGTTCTCTCTTGCGATCAGTCCGTGTCTCTTTTCTCCCCCTTTTCCCAGACCACAACCACAAAACAACCAGCCATGGGTGACGAGGATGTTGCTGCTCTCGTTGTTGACAACGGCTCCGGCATGTGCAAGGCCGGCTTCGCCGGTGACGACGCTCCCCGCGCCGTCTTCCCCTCCATTGTTGGCCGTCCCCGCCACCAGGGCGTGATGGTCGGCATGGGCCAGAAGGACTCGTACGTCGGCGACGAGGCCCAGAGCAAGCGTGGTATCCTCACGCTCAAGTACCCCATTGAGCACGGTATTGTGACCAACTGGGACGACATGGAGAAGATCTGGCACCACACCTTCTACAACGAGCTCCGCGTTGCGCCCGAGGAGCACCCCGTCCTCCTCACCGAGGCCCCGCTCAACCCCAAGGCCAACCGTGAGAAGATGACCCAGATCATGTTCGAGACGTTCAACACCCCCGCCATGTACGTCGCCATCCAGGCCGTGCTCTCCCTGTACGCCTCTGGCCGTACCACGGGTATCGTCCTCGACTCTGGCGATGGTGTCACCCACACCGTCCCCATCTACGAGGGTTACGCCCTTCCCCACGCCATCCTGCGTCTCGACCTTGCCGGCCGCGATCTCACCGACTACATGATGAAGATCCTCACCGAGCGCGGTTACTCCTTCACCACCACCGCCGAGCGCGAGATTGTGCGTGACATCAAGGAGAAGCTCTCCTACGTCGCCCTCGACTTTGAGCAGGAGATGGCCACCGCCGCCTCCTCCTCCAGCCTGGAGAAGAGCTACGAGCTCCCCGATGGCCAGGTCATCACCATTGGCAACGAGCGCTTCCGCTGCCCCGAGGCCCTCTTCCAGCCATCCTTCCTCGGCATGGAGGCCACCGGCATCCACGAGCACACCTACAACTCGATCATGAAGTGCGACGTCGACATCCGTAAGGACCTCTACGCCAACACCGTCCTCTCTGGCGGTACCACCATGTTCCCCGGCATTGCCGACCGCATGCAGAAGGAGATCACCGCCCTCGCCCCATCCACCATGAAGATCAAGATCATTGCTCCTCCCGAGCGCAAGTACTCTGTCTGGATTGGCGGCTCCATCCTCGCCTCCCTCTCCACCTTCCAGCAGATGTGGATCTCCAAGGCCGAGTACGACGAGTCTGGCCCCTCGATTGTCCACCGCAAGTGCTTCTAAGCGCCTCGTTGGTCATTGCCACCTTGTTGCCTCTTTTGCTGTTGTCCTCGTGTCGACGCGTGCCACGTGCGCTTGTTGTGAGTTGATTCTGCTTCTTGTGCACGTCATGCCGAGCCCTTGGGCCCCGCAATAAACCCACTATGCCAGTGTAACTATCCTTCCCCCCAATGTATAACTGTGACGATCAATGAGCGGTGCCCGAGTGACAGCTTTGCGGTGTCTACGTCACGTACACACACACACACACACACACACACACACAACCCTTAATGTGCTTGCCATTGATCATTGTCACGCCTCGCTTGGAAAACCCCCAACAAAAACAACAATCAATGGACGGCATTGGCTTTTCAGAGGCGGAGAAACGGCGGTTGCTGGGCCAAGCAGACGATGGTGGTGGCGGCAGCAGTGGGAGAACACGCAACGCCAGGGCAGATGTGGCAAGGAGGAAGCGGCAGCAACAGCAGCTGAGACAGCAAGGGTCACATGACCCTCAGCGACAACGGCAACGACAGCAGCAGAGGCTGGGCAGACCGCCGTCATCAACAACGGCACCTGCAGCGACAACGGCAACAGTCGAAGCACCCACTCAACGTGACGCGGGAGCACGGTGCCATGGTACAGAGGCCGAGGCCGGCCGTGCAAAAGCGAGCGAGTGTCCTGTCTCAGAGCACGGCACCAAGGCCGCACTTGAAGCAACGAGTAGTGACAGAACAAGCCAGGACGCCACACAAACTTCCTCTTCACAAGCGCCTGTCACCACGAATGACCAGGTAAAAGGGGTGCAGCAAACACAGCAGCAGCAAACACAGCAGCAGCAGCAGCAGCAGCAGCGGTCATCAGAGGAGCCGAAGATGGAGTTGCGTGATTCGGAAGAGGCGCTGGTGTTGACCATCCAGGCGGTGGAGCAGCGCAAGAGGGAGATGGAGGAAGCAAACAAGCGGCGGCAGATGGAGCTCGTCAAGGCCATCCAGTCGCGCAAGATGAAGGCCATGACCGAGGCTGCCAAGCTCAACCAAGTACAAGCTGAGCTTGCGACCTTGGAGCGATCTCTAAGCACGGACATTGCTCTTCTCCGACAACGCGTACGTGTGTGTGTGTGTATGTGTGTGTGTGTATGTGTGTGTGTGTGTGTGTGTGTGTGTGTGTGTGTGTGTGTGTGTGTGTGTGTGTGTGTGTGTGTGTGTGTATGTGTGTGTGTGTGTGTGTGTGTGTGTGTGTGTGTATGTGTGTGTGTGGGTGTGTGTGGGTGTGTGTGGGTGTGTGTGGGTGTGTGGGTGTGGGTGAGTGGGTGTGGGTGTGTGGGTGTGTGGGTGTGTGGGTGTGGGTGTGGGTGCGTGTGTGGGTGTGGGTGCGTGTGTGGGTGTGTATGTGGGTGCTTGCATGCACGTGCTGCTTCGACCGTGACCGTGATTCGCCTGCTCCATCCTTCAGCTTCAGCTTTTTCCACAACAGTCTCACTGTGATTGCCTGCGCATGCCGCCTTGACCAGATTGAGGCTGCTTGCCGCGACTTTAACATGGCAAAGTGAGTGTGCTTGCCACTAGCAACATTGACCAAACTCATCTACGTTCTCATTCGCCAACACGCCAGAAGCAAATGCTTCGCACGTGCACACACACACACACACACACACACACACACACACACACACACACACACACACACACACACACACACACACACACACACACGGCGCGTCTTTTACGCTCACACTCCCCCATGCTTGTTCTTGCCACAGGGGGCGGTTCGAGGCTGCGGAGAAGGAGTACGTTGCTGCCAAGTTAGACTACCACAAGAAACAAGAGCTCAAGGATCAACTGACAGAGCACCTCTTCATCATCATCCAGAAGGTAGGTGAACATGAGAGTCTGTGGGCATGTGTGCGTGCAGCTCGGGCGGACGAAGGGAGATTCACACACACACACACACACACACACACACACACACACACACACACACACACACACACACACACACACACACACACACACACACACACACACACATGCCACGTGTGCAGACGGAGGAGCGCAAGGCGGCGAAACTGGAGGAGCTGATGCGGAAGATTGGGGCGGAGGATGGCGATGGCGCCGCACTCGAGGGTGCACAGCAGCAGCAGCGGGGGGCAGCCGAAGTCATTGCCGCACAACAACAGCAGCAGCAACAGCAGCAGCAGCAACAACAACCGCAGCAGCAGCAACAGCAGCAGCAACAACAACCGCAGCAGCAGCAGCAACAACAGCAACAGCAGCAACAGCAGCAACAACAACAACAGCAGCAGCAACAGCAACAGGAGGGGGACGGGCAATAACGGCAACGCACGTGTTCGAGCAGTTATTGTCGAGCGATTGCATGTTCTGTGTTCACGTCACACAGATGCACACACTCTTTCCCTCTGTGCATATCATGTACAAATGCCGCTTGTTCCCGAGTTACACATTACATTATGTCTCACTGTGTTTATTCAGACCCGCACGCACGATGTGTACAATCAATGAACCACCTTGAACCAGAACGAGAAGCGTGCACAAAACAACGTAAGAGGAATACCCAACCACAGCGTGATGTGAAGTGACACACATACGGGAGGTGTTTGGTTTCGACAACACCCCTTCTTCAACACGGCCAGGTCGAGGCAAGCGAGGCGCGCTGGGGCTGCGTCGTGGTGGTGTGTTGGCAAGTTTGACTTGGGCTCCTCGGTTACAGGGGCGGCTCTGTGTTCATGACAACCTGCATAAATGTGCGTACGCTCTGTGTACGTGTGTGCATGTGTGTGTGCATGTGTGCGTTGTGTGTGAGGAGAAGGAAAGGGTGTGCACTGCAGAGGGAACAGTCAACTGGACGCTACCCATGCCTGGTTCACGTCGACGAAGGGTCTGCGTACAACAACTGCAGTTGAACGTGCACAAATGTATGTATACATGCATGACATGAACACACACATGGGCGTACATGCATGACTTATCACCATGCACTCTGTGAACTTCACACAGGCGTACACGTACCCCTTCGTTTGGCAAGCAGTCGCCAAGGGCTTCAAGGAGAAGCGGATCCTTCATCACCGACTCGCGATAATCCTGCAGCGACAGCTTGCCGTCATGATCAACATCCTGGCACGTGGGGGAGGGGCACCCATGCGCAAGGGTGAGCGATTGCAGGTTGGTTGGTTGGTTGGGGGTTACGGAGGGTGCGGGATTGAGTTGTGGAGAGGGGAGGGGAGTGAAGGGGGAGTGAGGGTAGACGAGCAAGGACAATCACACACACACACACGCACGCACACACACACACACACACACACACACACACACACACACACACACACACACACCCTCAGTGTCTCTCAGTCTGAGCCTCTGCGTTTCTGGCAAGAGCCCCCATGACGCACCATCTTCTTGAGAACAAGGTCGACGAGTTCCTTGATTCCTTCATCGCGCTCCTCCTCGTTCTGGATCTGGTGATGGCGATGGTGGTGGTGGTGGTGGCGGTGGTGGTGGTGGTGGCAGTGAGCATAACGTACGTACGTGGATGTGGATGGGGGCGGAACGTGACAATTGGAAAGGTGCAGTATCGTACAGAGTGCGGTGCGCACACGATGCATGAAGCAGCTCTGCTCACCCATCAAACGCACACCCACACACACACACACACACGCACACACATACACACGCGCACACTGCAAGGCGAGCATCAAGGCCCACCTTGACCATGGTGTTCTTGAGGAGGAAAAACATGGTGTCACGGCTGATGGGTTTTGTTGCATAGTCCTCAGCGCTGTTGGTGTACACGCGGTACACGACTGCAGTGGAATGCATGCGGCATATGACAGGCCATGCGATGAGACATTCGAATGACAGCATCACACATGCACGCACCAAGAAAACCAACGTTGACACACAGATTCAAAGGCACTAGCAAACACGCACACATACACACATACACACACACATACACACACACGCACACACACGCACGCACATGCACACGCACATACACACACGCACACACGCACGCACATGCACACACATACACACACGTACGTTCATGCACCACACAAACACAGGTACGCACAGTCAATTTGTTCGTCGAGGGTGCCGCGCAGCAGCAAGGACATGCCCATGACCCAGTCGTGCTTGTTGATCGTGCTCTCCGCACTGTTGGTGAACGCGCGGAACACTAGCAACGGCAAATGCAAGAAGCAACGACATTCGCATGATTGGCAGAAACAGCTGTGCCTGGAGCCCAAGCAGTTCACACTCACACACACACACATACACAATTTGTGGCACTTCAATTGCATTGATTGAACTCACAGCGGTCCATCATGGAGGCCTCTGTGAGGTTAAAGTGCTCGTGAAGAACATCCCGGAAAGCATTGCGATCAAGCTGCACCATTGCGGATAGGGTGAGCGTGAACGGGAGTGGATGCGAGACGAGCGCACAGGTGCACAAGTAAGGGCAAGTCGACAATTGCACAGGGAGTCAACCACACACACATAGGGTGTATGAGTGAGCTAACCTTGCCGTTTGATGCGACTGTCTCAAAGAAGTTGATGAGTCGTTGTACCTCCTCCTCAGAAACTAACGGCACCAAGGTGTGTGCGCGCGCGTGTGTGTGTGTCATTGTGGTGAGGTGGTGTGGGTGGTAACGAGACGGCGAAACACACAACACTCACACACTCTCTCACACCCACACTCACTCACACCCATACTCACTCACACCCACACTCACTCACTCACACTCACTCAGTCAGTCACGCACACACACACACAACACTCACTCACACACCAACACACTTACTCTCTCACGCCCACACACTCACACACTTACTCTCTCACGCCCACACACTCACACACTTACTCTCTCACACACCAGCACTCACTCTCTCACACTCTCACTCACAGTGAGTTGCCTTGGAGAGCGCCTCCATCTCCTTCTGCTTCTCCGTGCGCGCGGCCATCGTGCTGGTTGTGCTCGTTCGTCTGCTTCCACCTTTTTGCCTTTTGCTTCCGCCTTCCTCTTGGTTGTCAGGTACGGTGACTTT